TTGATAAAGATAGAGCAGTGGTGGCGAACCTATGGCACGGGTGCCAGAGGTGGCACTCAGAGCCCTCTCTGTGGGCACGTGTGCCGTCGCCCCAGTCCTAGGCCTTCAGCTGGGTTTTATAAAACCTTTTCGCTTTAGGCCTCCGCTGCCATGTGCAAAAAAAAAAAAGGTTCAATCAGTCAATTTCAGCTTCTCGCGGGGGAAAAAAAGATCTTGCAAAGTTGGGATTGATCGAACTTTTTAGTCCCACCCAATCTGCCATTACCACTGCCACGCCCACCCAATGGGCCACACCCCCCAATTGGCCACACCCAGCCAATGGGCCACACCCACCCGGCACCTGGCGATGCATAAGTGGGTTTTGGGTTGCAGTTTGGGCACTCGGTCTCTAAAAGGTTCGCCATCACTGAGATAGAGATAGAAGAATCCCCTGGCTTTAAAAAAGCATTTAGAGAATGATAAACTTAGTTGAATGTGGTCCTATTATTCCACTGGAAGCAAAGCTCCAAACATGCTTCTAGAAGAATTTTTGCTAAAATTCTTTTACATTTCCAGTTTTTATTTTGAATAAGATGGTGACTTCATAAAGGCCAATGATAATTTTAATCTGTGAATTTATATCAAAAGACTTCCCAGGGCTTGTGATATTCTTTCTTTTGGTTGAATAGCATAATCTTATGCCTTGAAATAAATAAATCTGCACACGAAGATTTATTCCTTTTACCTCACATTCTTGTTTTGTCTTATTTGATACAGCCAGATGTCTATCCTGGAAATTGTTGGGCCTTCCAAGGCTCCCAAGGTTTTGCTGTCATTCGCCTTTCAAGCAGGATCCATCCCACTGCTGTGACGTTAGAGCATATCTCCAAGTCGCTTTCCCCCAGGGGAACTATTCCCAGCGCCCCCAAGGACATTGCAGTCTTTGTAAGTCTGGATAACATAGCAGGAATGATCAAATTATAGTAAGCTCTTCCTGGTAAAAGGCATTTTTTTCCCCATCACAGGGTAAACACAACCCGCAATAGGCAATTCCTCTCATATTTGATAGGCAGTCAAGGACTGCAGAAGTGTCTGAACTTTGTCTATTTAGGAATCTCCTCTTTCCTGCTGTTGTGGCTCCGTCTTGTGAGCCCCTCTTATCGGAGGAAGAAGGCTCCGAACATGAAGGAGAGGAGATGGCTAGGCCTCCCTCTCCAGGACCCTCCTCTTTGGCAATGCCTCAGGTGTCTTCCGACAGAGAAGAGATTGACCAGGAGCCAGGTGGTTCAGAGATTGGCCAGAAGCCAGGTGTGTCGGATAATGAGGAGGAGAAGTTGTGGCTGGATCCACGCCAGCGTAGGAGCGATAAGCGTGCACAGCAGAAAAAGAGACGTGCCAGAGATTAAGCTGAGTCACTGGACCACACCCCACGGGCTATAAAAAGGTGGTGGTGGCCATTTGGACCTCTGTGACGGACAAAAGCTGAATCTCTGGCAAAGTAGTGTGCTGTGGTTTTAAACTGTGTGTATTGTTTTTGTTTCTGGGTGTTTGGAGTAAAAGGTCTTGGCAGGCAGCTACGGAGCTGCTGCCAAGTTTCTTATCGGTGAAGTGGTGTCTGGAGAAGTCTTTAAACCCTTGGCTGGCTGTTTGGGTGTGTGGGCCGGAACGGGGACAGAACACCTGCTTCCGGTTTTGCTAAAAGATTGAAAAACAGTTTTTAACATTTTGTCAACTCTGTCTTTCTTCCAGTGGGAGAATAAATTTCATTTTAAAATGTTTTCAGCACTTCCCTACTGACATAGTCTTCGAATACTCACACTAAATTAGTGAATAACTAATTTGTATTCATCAGTTCTAGTATTCATAGGTAGCTTTGAACTAGGCGGTCAGAATATTGGCTGGGTGGTTCTCTGTGGGGTTTTTTTTTTAAGGAACAATGTGGCTTGTTGGGTATTGTCTTAGCACAATAAGTGATATGTAAACAATGATATATGACTGAGCATTTGAACACAACCCTTTTGACTTTTCCAATTAAACATGGTTAAAACAAACCACAGAGGATCACTTGTGGTGCTTTCAAGCACTAAGATAGAAACCAGGAAACCAAATTCTTGTCCACCCTAAGGCGTGAAGCCAGTTGGGTGACCTTGGACCCAAGATAATCTATGTAAAGAAATATTTAGACTAATTTACAGTTTAACTACAGCTAAATAAAGCCAGAGTAAAATGAAA